TAACCCTAACCCTAACCCCTAACCCTAACCCTAACCCCTAACCCTAACCCTAACCCTAACCCTAACCCTAACCCTAACCCTAACCCTAACCCCTAACCCTAACCCTAACCCTAACCCTAACCCTAACCCTAACCCTAACCCTAACCCTAACCCTAACTTTATTTTTCTTTCAGGGTGATTCGGTGACATTTTTTACTTGGACGCGATTGGAGCAGACGCTTGATCGACTGATGAATTAAGAGGGCGCCCGTGTTTCACTCGCTTAATTTCCCGGAAGACGTTTGTGTCAGCGGTTGACCTAAGGTCACATAATTTTTAGAGCGCTCTTTTCTGGGGGCGGAATTTCTCAGAGATTCTGTGTCAAATTATTGCCATTATAGTATATATTTTGACCTTTTATTTAAGTTGACCCTTACGCGATTGGAGCAGGCGCTTGATCGACTGATCAATTAAGAGGGCATTACGCGTATTTCAATCGCTTAATTTGTGTCAGCAGAAGACGTATGGTCATATAATTTGTGGAGTGCTCATTCGCTGTGTGCGAAATTGCTCAGAGATTCTGCGTCAAATTATTACCATTAATATATATATTTTTTATGACTCTGAAAGTCACTTCACTGCGAATTTTGCACATATACTACATTCAAATTTCAGCACTGTGTGAAACATGCACAAATAACCACCTCGGAACATTAAGACAGCAAGTGAAGAAATTAAATTGCAACGGTTTTCACATACAGGCATTTTGAGAACTGTTGAGACAGACGGTTTTTTAAAGTTCACCCTTTAGTAAACTTAAATGTAACGGTCTACTCATGTAGCCATAGAAAATTTTCACTCACCACATCGTCGTCGTAAGATGAATTCCTGGCCGCGAGGCTGCTAGGAGCTTGCTCCTTAAGACTAGCTTGCTTTTTCTGAAACGCAACAAAACCACGAATGTCAGCGGATGACCTACTCTCACTAGGCAGGTAATCATCAATCAATTTTTTTCAATCAATCGTTTATTTTAACACGTTACGTCAAAGAGCTAAAAAAACTCGTTCAAAATACGAAGATGTATAAATAAAATCTATAATAAAACGGCTGTTATATTATTCAATTTTAAAAACAACTTAATAAATATATACATATAAAAAACTTGTAAATATAAAAAGCTAAAACCGACTAAAAAGCCACATACTAAGAACGTGACTAGGAAAACTCTAATACTCGTTCTAAAAACAGTTAAAAGCTACAATCGTACATTATGAGACACGTTCTAAAAAGCTGCAATCGTGCAATTTACTTCTGAAGTCATTGGCATCACTTGAAAGACGCACTTGAGAAGGCAAGCTGTTCGATAACTTTGTTAATGAATAAGTGAAAGAATTCTTCTTAAATTTAAGATTAAAGTTAGATAATTCCAAATTCAGCCCTTGCCTCTTAGCCTATACGGTGTATGCCTGTATTTAAAAAGGCTTCCAATATAACTAGTTCCCGTACCATTTAAGCATTTAAAAAGAAGTATTAACGCCTGGTGTAATAAGTGCCTACAATATAAGGATGTAATGCTAGCCGTAGAGAGCAGCTCATCGTGTGACATTGACTTGTTGTGGATGAGGTAATATAAATGCTTTATAAAGTTTTATCATTGCATCATGAGGAAGAAAACGCCTTATTCTTCTCAGTGCAGAAAGCATGTCATTTGATTTGACGCTCTTTAATGCGTGCGCTCCGCGAATATTGTACTCACCAGGTGGTTGTTATTGAATACTGACGAACTCAGACTGCCCATAAGGAGTCTCTGGTAGCTCTGGGATCGCCCCCTCTGAAAAGAAGAGCGACCAAGAAACTAAGTGATTAATCGGTTAATTGCAAGGGTGTCGGGGTGACTTGTTGGCAACGAAGCTGTGAATGATTTCGTCATTTTATAGACATGAAAGTACTTAGCCTTTAAGCGCACGGTTGAGAAAGAGTGCCCGTATTAGCCGGATACCTTTTCTAGGATAATGTTTTGAAAGAGCCCCTAATGTGCGCACTGAAGGGAGTACGTAATAGCGAGGTAATAGGCGATAAAAATTGATCTCACTGTAAACACACGTGCTTCGTTTAACTTTAAAAGAAAAGAGAAATTCCAACTTACCACATGATTGCCGTTGTAAGATGGGTTCGTAGCAGCGAGGTTCGCTTGCCTTTCCTTAAACGCAAAAAAAAAAAAACACGGATCACAGGTAAGCAAACAGACAAATGACTGATCGCTTCATCGCAAAAGGTGGCGATCGATGATCACATTTGCAGGCTTCATGGCAAAAATGAATTTTCAGCCATCTGCTGGCATAAGCCTAAGTCGGGGAACGTACGCTTTGGTAGGGAAAACAGAAAATAAATAAACAAGAAAAACCAAACAAAAACAAAGTAAAAAATCGCAACAAATCAAACAATCATTGACTCCCCGCACCAAACTGGGTAGGGAAGAAGCTGGAAAGGGGAGATCTCATTTCGAGATAAGATCGCAAAATTCCACGCTGTTAAAGGACTAAGCGCTCAAGTGACAGGTTTAGATTCTTGAAGCGACCTCAAATGATGAGGTCAAGCACTTACCACGTCATCCGGAAAAGCTGAATTCTGATGATTCTTTCTGAACTTGGGCCGCTTCTGTGAGAAATAATATATTATAAACTTAGGAGGAGAAACAAAGAAACAAAAAAAACATGAATCTTAGAGAAGCTCTAGAAACCGCAAGCTGGGGTAGGGTTAAGAGGGGAAGGGAGAGGTTACTGAACTAATAGCTGAGAATTGGTTGCTGTTGAAACCGTCAGCATGAAAAGTCTCTTTACTGAACTGATGGCTGTAGATCTGTGACGCATAATAAATCGACTCTTCTAAGACCAATGTTGAACAAACAACTTAAGCGTTTAAGCGCTTAAACGTTGTACTATCACGCCCAAACAATCCAAATGTGGTACATGGTATCGTACCTCCACTAGTAGCTAAGAACACGTCTCACCGGTTTGGAGGGTGACCCAGGGCCACGGATTTCTTGTGCTTCGGTCGAGAAATCCATTTCTTTTAGTCTTTTCTCTCTCTCTCTTGTTTTTCCTGTCATACAGAAAACAAAAAGGTCGGTTTACTCAAGATTGGCTGTGTAGCATGGTGCGGTCGGATAAGCATCATTGCCATATATGCAACTCGATGATATTTTTTGCAGGAAAGAGAAAGAGAATTGCCATGAAAAAACAAAACAAAACAAAAAGGAAAAAGTCCAATAATAGAAATAAGGTAAGAAAGAAACGAAACGATAGACTACCTGTGTTCGTGTTTCCCCACGCATCGCAATTGCAAGCCCAAAGGCTATGGTCCCCGCTTTTCAATGGGGGAGATTGTAATCTGAGGCCCGCACCGACGCCCATACCATGAACTGTGCCTGTTTCGGCCACATTAATTTTTAGGCCGCCGCATCAGTTTTTTGTCAATCAAAAGCTAAGTTGTTTTCGAGTGTTTTGTTTTGTTTTGTTTTTGACTTTCTATTTTTTGCCACAAACGGGTGATCTCTACTGAACTTTATCCCGCGCACGTAAACCAGCGACGCTGCCCACAAACGTAAACCGAGCATTTGGTACCCTAAGCATTACAACAACGTTTATTTCGCAGTACCATTTACATAGATGGTGTTGCATAAAAAAAAGAAGGGAAAAATAGTAAAACAGATTTATGAAAAGGTTAATAACTTGATAGAAATAAATCATCAAAATGAATAACAGAAAATCAACTGCAACAGTAATTTGCGAACTCTTAATTCAGTTTCTTCTCTGGAATCCCCCCAAAATGAAATAGCCTAGTTTTTTACAAATGAATGGGTCTACATTAGTGAAGAGAAACAATGCTTTAACTCATATGTTGTATTGAGATTAGTAAAGATCGCGTATTCAAAAGTGATATCACTGGCAAAGAGGTTTTCTCTTGCGTGGCTGTGGAGACTCCGGTAATCAAAGATGATGTGCAATTCGTTCTCAATATTGTTAGATGAACAATGTTGACATATTCTAACGTTTTCGGGAATTTTGGGGACGCAGTGTCTACCAGTTTCAATTCTTAAATCATGGTTACCTGATCTTCATTTTGCCACGGATTGTCTGTGTTGCAAATTTTTAATGAGATCAATCTGAACAGAAGCGTCTCGAGTCATTTTAAAAGAAGAGTAAAATTGGAGTTTATTATTAGTAAAATTTCAATAACAGAGTTCATGAAGGATTGTTTATTCTAAGCAGCATGCCCTTTTCACAACTTTTCAGATCCAAAAAACATCACTCCCCGCTCCCCGCCCCCCTCCTCCCCCCAAAAATCACAACAAAACAAAACAAAAAATACGATAAGTGACTGACCAAAAGCGCGTATTCAAAGGCCAAGCAAGTTTTTTTGGGTTTTGTTTTTGAAGCGGTTGGCATCAACTTTGTTTCCGCCTTTATTGAAACCGCATCTTACAGATCCCAGTCTGAAGACGAACTTGAAAACAAGCTTCAGACGATTCATCATAAATTCCAAGTCACTCTCAAAGCACTACATCCCCAACAGAAATGGTCGAATGTCGACGACGCAGACAAGAAAAATTTCAAAGAACTCAAAGAGAAGAACTACGTATACCTCCCCAGCAAGGGATGGCGCAGTGGTGAGAGCGCTCGCCTCCCACCAATGTGACCCGGGTTCAAATCCCGGCGTCCACGCCATATGTGGGTTGAGTTTGTTTTTGGTTCTCTCCTTTGCTCCGAGAGGTTTTTCTCCGGGTACTCCGGTTTTCCCCTCTCCTCAAAAACCAACACTTCATTCAAACTCGATCTGGAACGCACGGACACGTTTAAACGAGTTCATATGAACTCTTAGGCGCTTCGTGGGTAAAAAAGCAAAGCAATTAGCGATAAAGGCACTTAATTCTGCGTCATACAACAAGACACATAAACGCGGGTCGCCCTTGATCACCTCAGTGACACCAACACCTACCAATAAAAAGCCCCGCCTGATAGAAGATCTGCCAACAAAATGAATTCCCTCCCTTTGTCCAAAAAAGCTTCCTCGCGTCAAACACGTATCTGCCCACATTCTACCATTTCATCAAGACCCACAAAACAGGCCCCGATAGTATAATACGACCTATCGTAGCCAACATCAATGGACCCACCCGACGCATTTCATGGCTTCTCGCCAACGCCCTTGAACCGATACTAAAAAATGTCTCAGCCCATTTAAAAAACAGTCTCGAACTCATTAGATGTATCCAAGCCGGCGATCTCACCACAAACAAAGCGTTACCCTATCCATGCATCCTCGATTTGGTATCCCTATACACCACAATACCTGTACAAGAAGCCATCACCAACGTTACAGATAGAATTCAGAACCCTCTTTCCAAACTTTGAAAAAAAAAACAAAAAAACAGTAGTTTCTCTGGCAACCTTTGTGGCATTACAGGTGTGGTATGGAATCCCTAATGAAAGGGTTCCCAAGTCTCCAATAAACAGTGGGTAAGTTGGGGAGGGAGGGTGTGTGTAAATGAGAGTGTTGTAGGCATAAAAACAAATAAAATTGGTTAATAGTTTTATTTCTTTTCTCACTTCCTCTTTTTATGGTAGATGGTTTTTTTTTGCTTTTTGTTGTTGTTGTTGTTGTTTTTGTTTTTTTTTACTTGAATCCCCTGTTCTTGTTTTTAACACCCTCCTTTAATTAGAACAGCTACAAAATTTTTTTACCTTACTTTCAATGTTCTAAAGAACGAAATAATATTATAGATAATCATATTTTGTGGTTAGCAATTTATCTTCTTTAATAACAATTTTTAAAGAGGGTTTAATCCCTCCCCGCTTTTTTTTTCCCGCCCATTTCCTTTTTCATTTAGCTGGGATAAATTCGTCCCCGTGCTCCTCTCATTTTGCACTAGAGCAGCAACTGGCTTTTTAGCTACTTTCAAAGTTTTAAAGAACGAAATAACATTATAGATAATTATAGTTTCTGGTTGGCAGTTTATTTATTTATTTATTTTTTTTAACAAAAGTCATTTTTAAGTAGGGTGACCCCCTTTTTTCATCCATTTTCGTTTTCATTCAGATGGGATAAGTTCGTCCCCAGATTCCTCTCATTTTGTACGTCATGATGCTGACGATTAACTAGGGCGTGAACAGCAAAAACAAAAAAATTGTTTTTGCTACTTTTGGTGGGCCACATTCATGAGAAGAGGAATTTTTGTCTACTAGCTGAGGAGTTTCCAAGTTTTTTTGCTCACTAATTGGTCTGCTGCAGAGGCTATCTGAAGTATTTGAGAGTAAGTAATCATTTACTTTTTATTTCCATGACCTTTCAGTACTTTCATGTGTCAATGCCGCAGGCATCTTGCTACGGTTATAGCTAGTGGATCTATAATTGCCCTCGAAACCTGTTTCTCTCGCTTCAAGGTCCTTAACTTTATATTATATTATATATTAACCCTTCAGTTCCTTTTATTTTATTTTGCACTGTGCATTGTGTTGGACGTGGCTGCATTGCAGTTTGTTGGTCGCTCAATATTGGTGCTTTTTCTAACTATTTAACTATTAACCAATTTTATTTGTTTTTATGCCTACAGCACTCTCATTTACACACACCCTCCCTCCCCAACTTACCCACTATTTAGTGGAGACTTGGGAACCCTTTCATGAGGGATTCCATACCACACCTGTAATGCCACAAAGGTTGCTAGAGAAACTACTGTTTTACCCATGGGTTTTAGCATTTCAGGCATACTAGCCATCCTGTTCATGGACAAACTAAAAATCATCGCCCTCTCATCGCACTTAATGATAAGCCCTCACAAGAGATACTGTTTTGTTTTTTTTTTTCAAAGCTATCCATGCATCCTCGATGTGGTATCCCTATACACCACAATACCTGTACAAGAAGCCATCACCAACGCTACAGATAGAATTCAGAACCCTCTTTCCAAACAAGACGTCTCAGACCTCCTCCAAGTCACGCTAAACAACATGTACCTCTCCTTGAAAGATCAAGTTTTTCGCCAAAAGAGAAGGCCTACCCATGGGTTTTAGCATTTGAGGCATACTAGCCATCCTATTCATGGACAAACTAAAAACCATCGCCCTCTCCTCGCACCTAATGATAAGCCCTTACAAGAGATATGTTGACTACATCTATCTCCAAACAAGTAATGAAGAAACAGCTGACCACTTCCACCATATAATAAACAACGTGTCTCTAATTTGAAATTTGAAATTGAAAAACCAGAAACAACACCGAGTGCCCTGTCATTGTCATTACTCTATTTCAAAGTCACCATATCCAAGGATGGCAACAGCTCTTTTGAATTCTACAGAAAGCAAACCAAGAACCACTATTTGTCCACCATCAATCAGCTATCCCCACCAAATCTAAACTGAACTTCATTCGCAACGAACGAAAACGCATCGAGGACAGATGCTCCTCACATATATCTGCAAAACAACACCTAAACACATTCGATGACGTCCTTCGCCTTAACGGTTATCGAGAGAACAGTATAGAGCAGACAAAACGCCCACAAAACCCTCAACGAAACCTTTAACCTGCCAACACAGAATGGTAATACCTTAGGATCCCTTACATTTCTGAACGACTCAATCACAGGATCACTAACATTTTTAGAAAAGAAAACATCCCAGTACGCATTGCCTACAAATCCTACACGCTCAGGAAAAGCCCTATCCCACACCACCACGGGGCGCAAATGCACTAGAGACAAATTTTCTATCTCTAAAACCAGATTGTGTTTACGAAGAAATGCAGTGTACCAGTTCACGTGTAACAGCTGCGATCAGCTATACATTGGTAGCACGACACGCTTCATTCACGACCGCGTAATGGAACATCTCAATAATGAAAACTCCTCTGTTAAAAAACATATCTATTCTCATTCGTATAAAAGCCGCCGCGTGACGTTTTAATCAACTAGATTACTGCGTGTTCCCTCGGAAAGCAGTCTATTGGTCCTTTACGATCCCCAGGGAAATTCCCTAGGCCTTTTATACGCCCTAGCAAACAAATTCGCCGTCTTCTCGCAAGTCTACTCTACAACGGGCAAGCAAGTTTCATTCCTCCGCAACGCGGCCAGCGCCGCTGAAGCTCTTTCATGGCTCTCGTCCCTGTTTAACCAGACCCAGCTGATTCGGTAACTACTGCTTCGATAGCGCCTCAACCGGCACCAGCACCATCCACCTAAGTATCATGTTTTATTTTATCGCTTCCCCCTTTTCTTGCCAATTTGTTTCATACGCGGCGTTCATCTTTTTCACCATTCTGTTCTGAAGTTTGTTTACGTCAGCGCTTTTAAGCGTCTGTGCAACGTACCAGAGGTAAGGCGACCCTTATTTGATTATTGTCGCCTCTTTTGCGTCTGTTACAGTAGAACGAGAAGGAGCCGGAACATATTTACGTTGGCGCCTCATGGCGTCTGTGAAACGTAAAGGAAAATCTCAACAGTGCAGTTCAGTGGAATGTATTTAATTACGTTGGCGCCCTTCGGCGTCTGTGAAACGTATAATGAAGAGAAAGACATTACGTTGACGCTTCTTAGCGTTTGGGAAACGTAAAGGAGGATCCCAGCAACTCTACTCAGTGGCATGTTTTTAATCAGTTACGTTGGCGCCTTTTGGCGTCTGTGAAACGTACAATCAAGAGACAGACATTACGTTGACGCTTCTTAGCGTTTGTGAAACGTAAAGGAAGATCTCACCAACGCAGTTCGATGGTATCTTTTTAATTTCGTTGGTGCCCTTTAACGTCTGTGAAACGTACAATGACGAACATCTTTGGCTTTACTTCGCGACCGTCCATCGTACATTTGGTCTAGAGTCTTTGATGCCTTATGGCATTTTACGTGTACGTATTGAAAGATTCTAAAATAAGGTGGCCAGTTGTTTATTTTTCCCGTTCGTTTCCTACTCATTGTATTGTCAACACTTTGTATAATTTCAGCACATTGCATTGTCAGCATACTCCGTGCCCCCTCGCAGCTGTTCCCTTGAGACGTCTCACTTTTTATATTGTGTTTATTCTTCCTCACCTATTACACTTGCGACCTTAGAGGTCATAGCAGAAACAGAAGGTGACGTAACTCCCAGATATCAGTTTCAGTAACCACGTGCTGTTTACTCTAGCGTACAGCGTTAATAAATTTGCGCGAGTTTCCTTGTATATTATATTTTTCTTTCGCTTTTGCTTCCTATATTTCCTACCCCACACTTGAGTCGTGCTCAGGGGGGTTCCTAAACACCCCCTTCTTCCAGTCTTCGGACGGTTTTCCGACTCGACTCAACTGAGGGGTTCCCTCCCAGCCTCCCTCTTTCGCAGGGTCTTTCCTTCTTTTTATCTCCTCCCATTCGGATTTCTCTAACCGGGTTACACATGCTGCAAGTCACCTTTCTGCTTTCCTTTAGAGTATCTGGGAGGAAAAGCCCCACAGTTGGGCCGGGCCACTTCCTTCAATTGAATCCGTCACATCTGGGAGGTATTACACCAACACTGCCCATCTCTCTAAGGAGTTTTTCTGGGTTTTTCTGAGTTGCGGGGCGATTTGGCTGTACTGCAACCTAATCAGGTATTCTGCAGCACCCCTGGTCTCGGGCAAAGTTTTTCAGCCATAACTTATCCATCAAAAGGCATAACGTGGCTTTTATGCGAATGTGAATTAGTTACTATTCTCATTCGTATAAAAGCCGCCGCGTGACGATTTAATCAACCAGATTACTGCGTGCTAACTCGGAAAGCAGTCTATTGGTCCTTTACGGTCCCCAGGGAAATTCCCTAGGTCTTGTATACGCCCTAGCAAACAAATTCACCGTCGTCTCGCAAGTCTACTATACAGCAGGCAAGCAAGTTTCCCCACCCTCCTTCCCTTCAGCGGCGCTGGCAAATTTTCTCTATCAGCCCACTCTATGCTTATGCAAAATTTTTCACCAATAACTTATCCATCAAAAGGCATAAGGTGGCTTTTATGCGAATATGAATTAGTTACTATTCCTGCCAGAACAAGGACTATAAAGGCATTGAATTCAAAATTATTGAGAGAAAACGACCCCGCTAATCTACGCCTCTATGAAGCATTTTACATTAGAAAGTGCAAATCTACACTCAATTCCCGAGAAAAATGTACTGAATTCGCCGAACTTCTATTTTAGTAATTTTTTTTAGAGACCATTCTTAAGCGCTTTTAGAGGTCCTTTGTCTAGAGACACTCCATCATTAGAGCTTTGTACTCCATTCACAGTTTATTTCTATTGCTTTCATACATACATCACATCTATTACACATTTCACTCTACACTTTCTTTGCATATATAGCGCGCGCGGAATATTTTCTCATCCCTGATGATGCCGTTGATCGGCGAAAGCTTGGATTTAGTAGAGAGATTCTTAACCCCATCGGCTAGACATTCCAAGACACATTAATAAAGTTTTATGTTTTTTGTTATTTTAGTTTTTAAACAGCAGTTTAAGACTTCACTAGAACAGATTTATTTTTTTATTTAGTTAAAAAAAATAGAAAAGTAAGGATGAAAACCAAAATGAGATACAGTTTTGGGAGAAGTCAGTTGTTGTCTGAAGAAACCTGATTTACTGATATTATGAAAAAAGCAATTACCGTTTTGAAGTGACGATCATATTGTAAACGGTCTTGATAAGCATTAAATTTTACAATACATAACTAGAAGGTTTCGTAATTGTGACGGCACCTCTCCACTTGGGACTGACTTTGAATCGTTGGCGTTTTTTCACTAGCACATTTACTGTTATCTTGTAATTTCCATTTTCTTGAATAAAGACAGCAAACAACAAGTTTCTTGGCGGCACCGCGAAGGCGAGTCTTGAACTGTTCAGTGATTACGCAAAACAGCAAGAAATTGGCAAACCCTTGACTGCAGTCTCCAAAACCCTGAGAGAACAAAACAAGAAATTACCGATGGTAAATTAATCCAAAGGGACACGAATACCAGTTTTTGAATCCAGTGGAATGCGCAAAAGTAACTGAAAAACAGCCTCCAAGAGGAATTAAACCAGAATGACAGATCCTTTATCACTCCAAATGCCAGTTATGGACCTGTAAACAATAGTCCTATTCAGGTCTACGCTCACCCAGAGATCTTGCTCCACCTACGTATGAATGGCTTCTGGGTTCAAACCTTTCTCAATTTTACGTTCACTAACTTCTTTTGGATAACAGTGGGAACGACTTGCAAACGACTATTCAGTACATAATTAACGTCAGACGAATATAACAGCTCTGTTTCAACCACCGCTGAGGGCCTTCCAGGGGTTTTAGGGAACAAGGGAACACGGCCATTTACTTCTAGGGAACAAGGGAACTGTTGAGTTATAAAGGTTAACAAGGGAACATTGATTTCCTAAAAACTTACAAGTAGAAAGAAGATCCCCAACTGCAAATGACCCCGAGACCGCAAATCACCCCCAAAATGGACCGCAAATGATCCTCGACCGCAAGTGATCCCAAAAGTCGACCGCAAATGATCCCGAAAGAAAAATAGGAATGGCTTAGACTCGAGTTAGCGGATCATCGTGTCGATTTTATTATTATTACAAAAAGTAAGATTAAACGCTAAATTTTAGTTCTTAAATAAATACACGAATAAAAACTAAATGAAAAAAATCATTCAAGTGTAAAAACGAGGTCGGTAGGCAACACACGACTTTTACCTCATGCCAAAATGCTGCTTGTTCCAATGAATTTTTTCTCTGGCGGGTAGATTATACCTCTGAGGGAAAACGTTTTGACTGAGCAAATGTGATTTTTGCCGCTTATTTCATACTGAGAGGTCATGACACGCATTTTCTGCGGTTATTTTGCAGTCTGGTCGGCATGATTTGTCCTTTAATGCAAGAGCATTTCGTTTGACCTCTTTAGAAATGCAATGCTCTTCATTGCGGCTAAATAAGGGTTTTAGGTTGTTTGATTTTCTTTAAAGTGCCTCATGGATCCGAATAATTATAGGCGACTTTCTTTTAGTGTGAATGTGACGGTTCCTACGATGTCTTGTCACGCGATAACTACCGCTTGCCTCGCTTTCGCGTTTCTTCATTACCAGGTTTAGATTCCTGGTAACTGTGTCCAGCAAAGGCAAATGGATATACATAAAAGCGTCAATATAACTATTCGCAACATGTTCATGAGCTGTAAGCAAGTTGCTTTTTCGAAATAAACCGAAACCTGTGGACATTGATAAGTTCGGGGGCATTTTGACGTGGTATATTTCAAAAATCAGGTCTTGTTTCGTAACGGGCACCCCCACGCCTGGGGCACTCCTAAGTTACGAACCATTGTCTTGCTGTTTATCACGTAAAATTAACACTTCAGAGAAAAATCAAAACTAAATACTCTGAAAATTAACTCGACACTTCTAAAAAGATCAGTAAAGTCAATAAAGCTCTTGTTAGGTAGAGGGTGTCCGGCTTTGTATTCCTCAGTAGACAAGTTGAGCTTGGGCGTTAAAATAATAGAGTTTTTTCTGCGTAACGTCCTGCCTGTCTTAAATTTTCAGCGACGAAGCAGTTCTTGAAAGAAAATTGAAGCAATTGACAAAGGAAGAAGTATACGATTGATACCATATCCTTTTCAGACTTATTCTACTTTTTTTTTTTCGCCTTGTATAAATTGACCTGAGATGTAGCGTCCTCCCTCCCTTTTTCTTGAAAAGGCGCAAGAAAAAGGTTCCTTCTTTATAATCAGTCCTTTTTTGTAATCAGTCCCATAAAATCCATTCCATTCCTTAAGTTTTCACGGGAACATTTGCGGTCAACGTTGGGGATCACTTGCGGTCGAGGATCATTTGCGGCCCATTTTGGGGATCATTTGCGGTCTCGGGATCATTTGCGGTTGGGGATCATTTTCGGTACTGTACAGTACTAAAGAATATCCAAAATATATAAAAAAGCAAACATGCGCTAAGCTAAAAAACCGTTTAAAACTACAATGAAAGTTACAAGTAAAAATCGTCCAAGGTTTTCCTGAATAAAACTTTACAATTAATGTTTCTTAAACTTAATGGCAGTGAATTAAATAGTCGAGGCACCTAAAAACAATAAAAACTAAGGGGCGCAAAATCCATCCATAAAGTGTCACCTTAGGCAGTTTTGCTGCTTTCCCATTGTTTCTAGTGTTTAAAGCATTACGTGTCTGGTGAAATCGTTGAAAATAATTCCTAAACGGGAAACATGCAGTTCCATTCTTAGGAGGCCTTCAAATACAAAACAGCACCCTTTCTTTTGCAAAAAGTTGTAAATTATTACAAATCAAAGATCACAGGTCTTTTGGCTGCATTTCGGGGAAATGATTTCGAGGCTTCGTTTCTCAATGGACCGGGTCATGTGTTTGCGGGACTCTGACCATCCAAGACTATTTTAGCCGCAATACGTAAATATTGACAAAATAACGGCAAATTTTACCTTAGAGAGGTGCTTTCTTAAAATAGTGGCAAGATAGCCTCTTTCCAACAGGCGAAAATGAAAATGACAACGAAATATGAGAGAAAGCGTGGGGAACAGTGAGGAATATTTTTGGGGATCAAAAAGGGAGTGCAATTTCTGGGAACATGGGAACTCAGTTAAAGTGAACTTGGGGAACACCTTAATTTATTTTTGAGGAACAAGAGAACAAATGTAAATTTTTATAGCGAACAAGGGAACATGCACCCCCCTGAGAGGCCCTCACCGCTGCAAAGATCGCGGCCTTGTAAAGGACTTAGAATTAAGTCGCCGCTGAGCACGCAAGACGCTATTCAAATCTTCCACCTTGTAGACGATCGATCCGAGCTCAGATAAACGACTGTCGACTCAACTACTACGACAACAACTTACAACAACGACTAGGCAAACGTAAACAACTTATACCGACAACCTTATTTGTGCTACACAGAGTAAGCTGACAAATGTGTTAATAGGTCAGCTAATCAGTACCGCGCGTTTTACGACACCAGCTTTCCAGATTATTTGAATCTACAACTTACGATCTTCAAAAGCCCCAACTATCTGAGTTTCTAAGAAAGCAACACTTTTAAGGACTAAGCTGCCTCAGCTTTCAACCACCTGTCTGCTGAGGTCTGAAATTTAACGGACTATAGACTTTTCTGTATATCTGCGTGGCCTTTTTAACCTCCTTGGTTTACGCTACGTTGACGACACTTTTACCTCTTCAGAGGTAGGTTGAGTTTGATCGCCCGGGTGAACGTAGTCCTGAATAGGACTGTTGTTGTTGACAGTGCCTGACGTTTCGACAACCTGTGCTGTAGTCATCGTCAGAGTCAAAATGAGTTATTGACCGGATTAGTCAATTACTTCGCGATGTTATTGGTCGTCTGTCAGTTAAGCCGTGATGTTACTGGCTATGAAGACTCGCAATGTAATTGGTGCGTTTCGATCCGTCTATTGTCACAGTCAAACAGTCGTCTATTGTTAGTCAAATTGTCAGTTGTCCAGTCGTTCTCTCGTAGTTAGTTTTGCTTGATCTCGTCAATAAGTCGTTTGTAGGGTGCTGGTAACTGTCGACTAGGATTCAGTGGCGTTTGTTCTATGTTAGTAAACCAGCTTTCTAAAGTGAGTCGTTGATAGTAGTCTGTAGAATATCTAATACATGTCGCAGATTCATATTCGATTTGATGTTTCGTCTGTAAATGATGTTCAGCAATGTGATTGTTGACGTCGCCATTTCTCGTTGCTCGTTGGTGTTGGGTCAGCCGCGTACTAAGGTTTCTACCGGTTTCACCAAAGTAGGTAGCCTTGCAGTCGCAGCATTTGATCGTGTATGCTGCTCCCTGTCTGTCCTCCAGTTTGTCTTTGTCCTTGACATTAGTAGGTAGTCGACGTAAAGTGCTTATCGGTTTGTGTGCAACACGTATATTGTAAGGTTGAAGTATACGTGCGTATACGTGTGTTTCAGAGGTGCCTCTGATGCACGGTATAGTCGCTGTCGTAACAGGGCCAGAGTTGATGTTGGTCTGAGTGTTGGAATCAGTGTTACTGCGAGTGTTCCGTCCATGTTGTTGATATTTTTACTAAAAACGTTGTTTAGGTAGTCAGTCTGGTATTGTAGGCTGTCAGGTAAGTAGCAAACTAGTTACGCACGTCTCGTCAAAGTCCATATGGTTGTAGCCTTGTGAGAGGTTGGGTTGCACGATGACTGGTCTAGTAATCGGTCGGTATTTGTCGGTTTTCTGTAAATAGTCGTTCGTGGTCTGTTTTTGTCGCGTGTGACCAAACAGTCTAGAAAAGGTATCTTACCAGTTTCTTCGATCTCCTTGGTGAACTGTATATCCGCGTCTCGTGTGTTAAGGTGTTCGTGAAAATCGTTGATTCCGTCTTTGTGTACGGCAGTGAATGTGCCGTCAACGGAGCGTAAGAGAAATTCTTATGCAAAAAATCGAGAAACAAGCCTTAGCTACCCACACGCGAACTATACCTCTTTAGTCACACAAAGACGGAATCGACGATTTTCACGAACATCTTAACAGACACAACGCGGACATACAGTTCACCAAGGAGATAATATCAAATGTCCATAACACTCGAGTAAGACTAAAACAAAAGTTTTATTACATACTCCCTATATACTAAAGCTTAATCATTTGTTACATTTCCCTCGTAATAGGTAATTTAGCATAACTCATACCAAGTAAGAAGTAAAAAGAGAAGATAAGAGTAGAAAATGAAAACCTAAGATAGCTTAAGACAGGTCGCTATAGGCCTCTTTAAAACAGTGCATCTTAAATGAGTCTCTTAAACTTATCAAAATCATTCTCTTTCCTAATATAGTCCGGTAAACCCTTCCATATCTTTGGAGCAGCTGCAGTATATGATCTGTCCCCAAGAGTGCATTTTAATTTAGCGGTAGGGTCTTGTAAAATAACGCCTTCAATACTCCGCAGGTTATAGAGTGATTCGCTCCTGTGATTGAAGGGCTACTTTATGTTGAAGATTTCACCACAAACTGATTTTCGCGTACATGACCGTACATGGAATTTATTTGCACTTGTAGTAGTTTAGTCAACTGAAAAATTAAATTAATATGACAAAGAAGGTTATTACACATGTCGATTTCGGTTGAAGCGACGGGAAAATATTATACTTACAATTTGTGTTCCATATGCGGCTAGTAAGCTTCGAAGTGCGATCTGTGGTGACACTTTTGAAATGTAAGTTGCGTAACGAACTTCTAGGTTTTTAAAATAATTAGTCACCTGATCTATTTTTGCCGCGGTGCGCTAAGATAATTAAATATTCACAAAAAAATTGACAAACGGCTTGAAAAATGCAAATCATAGAGAGAACATCTTTTAGTATGTATGAGATAAACTAAATGCGCAGGCCCCAGACTGTGAATAGCCTTGAAAGAGATCACAGCGATTTTATAGCAAATTCGGGATTTCACCGGTACCCAATGCAGTGTAAGCAGCACCGGGGTAACATGACAGTACCTGGGTGTAGGGGAGATACGTCACGCAGAGGAATTCTGAAGACGTTGCAAGTTAGAAAGATGCACAGCTGGTACACCATAGAGAAGTACCGTTGCAATGATCAATGCGTGCCATGATCGCGCCTTGTACAAGCAATTTAGTGGAGGTACGCGTCAAGAACGTCCTGATTTGTCTGATATTATGCAGCGATAGTAAACGGATTGACAAGTCTTGCTGATCTGTTCTGTCATCTTAAGGTTAACGTCAAACCACGAATCAAGGTTGAGGACGGCAGAACTTACAATTGGCACTGATGCTTGACCAATCTCTAGGTGTGCAATATTCACTTTATCAAGTTGTTGCTGCGTACCAATTAGAATGACCTCGGTTTTGCCTTCATTAAGCTTTCGCTGGTCCGCCGCCATCCATGTTCTAATGTCTTCAATACATTCTTGCACAGCATCCACAGCCTTCAAAGATAGATAGAGCCGATTAACGTCTGCGTCGGCGTGCACATCCGAAATGTGAGCCTTTACTATTTCAAACAACTTGCTAGCGTAGATAATAAACAATAGGGGGCCAAGGCATGAACCTTGAGGGACACCATGAGGTAGATCAAACTTTCCAGAGCAGCAGCCTTCAACACAGATGCACTGAGATCTTCCATCGAGGTATGATTTAAATCGGCTAAGTGCAGACCCAGATATTCCAAAGCTAGATTTTAATCGTTTGAGCAACACCCGGTCATTGACAGTGTCAATGAATGATTTTCCAGTAATCGGATACCCATGGATCGCCAGGGGGCAAACATTGCGAGTCGCTAAAAGAAATGTATGACGTGGAGTTGTTTCTCCGTTAAAAACAGTGTCTTTGGACATAGAATGCCGCATTTTGCTGTGATTTTATGAGAAACGGAGGTGACTAATGTTGGTGCGTTGAAATTTCAAGTTTCTGTGTGATTAACGCGATAAATTCTATCGATAAACACGCCTTGTGTGAGGCTGAGTTACTGAATTTACACAGACATGAAGAATTCGAAGGAAAGGTCTCTAAATATATAGTGCAAATTTAGGTATACATGTAGGGGGATTGGCTCATTTAAGCGTTTACGGTACAATTACGTGTGGTGATATTTACGACGAGTGTAACTATACTCGGCCGCGATCAGCGCTGTGCGGCGCTTTGCGGGTTATGACAAGACAACAATCGTAGATATGTACGTGGCCATAAAAAGAAAAAATCCTCCTTTACTTTGGTATAAACAAAGTGACATCTACAAAATATTTCATGGAAAGTACATGGTATTTAACCATTAGTAGATAAGGCAGAAATCGTGCGAACGAGTAAGATAGCGGTGAGTGTGAAAATAAATACCAAGTTGATGTGCGAAATTCAGAGATTCTATATCTTCCCTCAAAATGATTGAAAAAGGAATTAGAACTCATCGGTGCTCTGGATCATGACAAAACATTTCGCTTGTGTTTTTTCGGCGAGAAGAAATCAATATGCTAATGTGCGGAAGAGGTTTTTGTTTTTAAATTTAATACATATCAAAATCGACAATACATAAGCTTACCTTCGATCGTTGTCACAAACCGGCACAGCATTGTGATCGCCGCCGAGCGGAGTGTAATTACACTCGTTGTAAATATAAGCACATGTAAGTACAACTGGAAAGGCTTAAATGAGTCCGCATTCCCCGGTCATTTATACCTAAGTTAGTACTATATATTTCGAGACCATTCCGTAAATTCACAGTCGACCTTTCGCAAGACTCAGTGTTTATCGATAGATTTCATCGCATTGATCCCACAAAAACTTACAATTTCTTCGCACCAACATTAATCACCTCCGCTTCTCATAAAATCACGGCAAAATGTTGCATTCTCTGTCCAAAGACACTGCTTTTAACGGAGAAACACCTCCGCTCCATACATTTCTTTGTAGCGACTTGCAATGTTTGCCCCCTGGCGATCCCATAATCCTGTGCGCATAACTAAGTGTCTGATTACTGGAAAATCATTCATTGGTGATTGACTTTGGTCGAGAAGTACCAGCAGTGTGACCAGCAGTGTGACCCTCTGTTTATCCATGCTTAACAGAATGTCATTGTGCACCTTAAGCAGCGCGGTCTCCGTCCAGAGACCAGACTACGAACGACTATTTACAGAAACCGACAAATAACACTGTACGGTGTTTAAATCTACCTGGCTGGCTCCATAGACTGGAAGTGCGTATGAGTGCGTACTTAGTGCGTATTAAGTGATCTTAAAATGTACAAACACTTGTTTGCTTCCCGAAGCTTTCCCTTAACATGAGATGAAAACTTACAGTCGTTTTGTAATGTGAAACCTAACAGAGTAAAACTGTCACTCTGTTCTATGCCACATAGTGGGGGAAAGTTGGGTGTGACACCTTTTTTAGCCATATAGAGTTCTTTGCATTTGCTTGTGTTACAGCTCATACCATTGACCTCTGTCCACTCTGAAAATGCATTCAGTGCCTTTTGTGATTCATCTACACTATTCTTACGCACAGTTACAAGAATAGAAGTGTCGTCTGCATACTTAGTAGTATCCTGGCAGTACTGAGCGACGTCAAGATCATTTAAGAACAGGTTAAACAAATGCGGGCCGTAACCTTACAACCGTACAATATACGTGTTGCACACAAACCGATAACCACTTTACCTCGACTTCTTACTAATGTCAAGGACAAAGACAAACCGGAGGACAGACCGGGAGCAGTACACAAGATCAAATGCTGCGACTGCAAGGCTACTTACTACGGTGAAACCGGCAGAAACCTTAGCACGCGGCTGACCGAACACAAACGAGCGACGAGAAATGGCGACGTCAACAATCACATCGCTGAACACCATTTACAGACAATAGCCAAAACCAACACATTTCGACAGATTATTATACGGAATTTGACGATACGAGCGCAACTATTTTACGACTTACCTGACAAAAGACGAAACTTACTACCTAATTAAGAACGTTTTTTACCAAAGACTACCACTCACGGTTACCCCGACTCCAACACTCAGACCAACGTTAACTCTAGCCCTGTTACGACAGCGACTATTCCTTACATCGGAACCACCTCTGAAACTAAGAAATGGACTGGCACTCTTCTTTATGTACTACGTATTATATAGTCAACCATTACCAGCACCGTATAAACGACTTATTAACGGGCTCAAGCAAAAGTGAAAACGACAGAATAACTGGACAACCGACAACTTGACTATCAATAAGCGACTGTTAAACTGTAACAAAAGACGGATCGAAACGCACCAATGACAGTGGACAGTGAACAGGTACAGAAGTGTTGTGGATTATTCCATTTTGAGGCAATAGAGATTATGGAAGCTGCAAGAAAAAAATCAATGATCTAATTGTAGTCAAGCTGAGCCACCATACCTGTCCACTCTTTCTTGTTAGATCATATTGTTTGTATAAATGGTTTTTATATAATATATGATATGATTTATACCATTTTAGAAAAAAACTGTCAAAAAACCTACTTGGAGATAAAAAAGTGCCGTATTCCACCACGCTTGAGATTTTCCAGTGTCGATATACAAAACAAAGATCCAACGAAGTGTTCTCCACACGCGCAGCAGAATAAAGGTAAAGGGAACCAAGGCCAACATTCTGTCGGCTTTCAGGGCGATGTTCTGGGCCTTTTGTGATGGAAACTGACTTTTGTTATGAGAAATCTGAAAAAGTAAAAGTCTATAAAAATGGTGTTATTAATTTCTTTCAAGTCCAGATAACTCCTAACAAAGAAATAGTCACTGGAGCGGAAAAAGCAAATGTGCAAACGGCCGTATCGCTCAAGAATTTCCAACAGATGCTACTGCTACGGTAATTGAATGCCTGATAAACGCCTGATAGTAGTGGTGGAGGGATGATTTACTCCTGTTTAGTGTCTAGTAAGTGTCTAGAGAGGTCTAGCTAGGTCTAGTGAATGACGTCGCCTCATTGGCAAAACATTTGTCTAATAAAGGTCTGGTCACTGCCTTCCTGCACACCTGCATACTTATTAAGTGCCTAGTCCGTGTCTAGCTAGCTAGGTAAAACAACGTTCCTCCATACTAAAAACTGTCTTCGACCACATCTAATGAGCGTCTCTCTTATACAATAGAAACAACAGGCTTGTCCGCTCTATATCCACCTGATTAGCTCAGGTAGAATCTATTATGGTTTCGAAATAAAGGCGGCCGGTTTTCGAAAGCGCTATCTTTCTTGCAAGTTCAGTTTGCTAGGGAAAACTTTTGTTCGAGCTCGCTTGTTTGAGAAAACATTTACTCGCTTTTTGAGTATCATGGCTTTGGTTACCAACGTTGATAAGTTTCCAGCTCTTTTGGACGCCTGTTCTTCGACCCAACAATGGGAACTATTGCTAGACTCCATTCTAGTACCTAATGAGTGCAACGTCTATTAAGGTGACTCGACCCAGTTTTTTTAGGGGGGTACCAAGCTTCTTTGAAGGTCTCTGGTATCCCCACCTTTACTTTTATCTTAAGTCTAACACATAGAATGGATAACATATAGATCAATCTACAATATGACATAAAATTTTTGGCGATCGGAGTAAATGTTACGTGGTTATAATGCCACGCCCCTTTGAGGTCTGAGTCGAAAATCTGCTGTTGCCGGCATTTTTTCGTGAAAATCTCTCGGCTACACATAGTGCGCATTAGTGCCTTGCGCTGAGCAGAAAATCACCAAAATCGCAAAGACCCAATTCAAGAAATTCAGCGGTTTCCAAATTTAGGCCATAATTTATGCGAAAATGATAAGCAAACTTTACACGATTATATCTTATAAACTATGAGATTCATCCCTTTATTTTGGGCATCGTTATAACAGATGGGTCCTTGCAAGTCAGCAAAAAGTTTTAGGGCCTTGTAAATGCGCGCGATTTCGAGCAAAGCAAACATATAGAAATATAGTTTTCGCTATTTGTTGACGTTTGTCAGCGTCTAAGAGTCCTTCTCACGAAAAAAGCATTTTCTTAAAAATTCGTATTTTTTTTTCCTTCAAATTTTTTCAGGGCCACAATTGATTAACTAACTACCTGGGCTCTGAATTTCATGGTCATTGAAAAACTGTGACATCATCTTCTATAAGCCCAAACTTGAGTAAACATTGAAGATTTTTAGCGTTTTGGCTGAGTTTGTGCTTTGGGAGTTGTCTATTGTTTCTAGTCTGTCATTATACAGCATTCTTGTTCAGCACGCGTGCAATGACCACGCTTGGCTGACTTCCGAATGCACACCGAGATATGATAATTTAGTATGAGAAAATAGAACGGATTCCCGTCACGAGTTGGTCTAATTATTGGCTTGCATTAAACCTATGAAAAAATGATATTTTTTTAGTAGGTAGATTTAGTGTGTGGCACTCCTTTATTTTTTTGCAAAGGCACAAGAAGCACGAGAATTGATCAAAATTTGTGAGTTAAACCTCTATGTATCACGCGATGGCCTGTCTCACTGTACCAAAATTATCATATCTCGGTGAGCATTCGGAAGTCAGCCAAGCGCGGTCATTGCACGCGTGCTGAACAAGAATGCTGTATCATGACAGACTAGAAACAATAGACAACTACCAAAGCTCAAACTCAGCACAAACGCTAAAAATCTTCAATGTTTACTCAAGTTTGGGCTTATAGAAGACAATGTCACAGTTTTTCAATGACCATGAAATTCAGAATCCGGGTAGTTAGTTAATCAATTGTGGCCATCAAAAAAATTTGAAGGAAAAAAAATACGAATTTTTAAGAAAATGCTTTTTTCGTGAGAAGGACTCTTAAACGCTGACAAACGTCAACAAGTAGCTAAAACTATAATTTCTATATGTTTGCTTTGCTCGAAATCGCGCGCATTTACAAGGCCCTAAAGCTTTTTGCTGACTTGCAAGGACTCATCTGTTATAACAAATGCGTGCAGATCGGAGGTAGGCCGTTTCCCAATGCGAACGAAGACAAAGTGCAGAGCCATTAAATATTGGCTGAAATTTTGTGAGCCGGAGCACCAAAATAAACTCTCTGGAATAGCATTTACAGACCAAATTGGTCAAGATAAAAAGGAACTTTGGTCAAGCAAATTAAAACGAGTATTAAATCTCGCAAGGTTGGAGTGCACTGAACAAAATGATGAAAGTGTGGAAATCAAACCTAAAAAGTCATCTCAAAATAGGTTTCTTTCGGGCCACAGTTGAAAGTGTACTGCTTTATGGTGCTGAATGCTGGACGATGACTGGAAATATGAGGAATAGACTAGATGGTACGTACACAAGAATGCTCAGAGCAGTTCTTGGAGTTTCCTGGAAGGAGCATAAAACCAACAAAGAACTGTACGGCAACCTTCCTAAGATAACAGATACACTGATGACCAGGAGGCTGCGGTTTATAGGACACTGTTGGAGAAAAAAGGATGAGGTGATAAGTGATCTACTACTCTGGGAACCAAAGCACGGCGCAAGAAAGAGAGGAAGACCAGCATTAACATATGTAGACCAGCTACAAAATGATACTGGTTTGAGCATTGCTGAACTGAAGAACATCATGGAAAACCGGAAGGAATGGATGAAGCTAGTTAATGGAGTTCAAGTTCGCTCGAAATAAGCAGTAAGCAAGCAAATCTCGCAGGTCTTGGCGACATATGGTCAGCGAAAACTAACACTCCTGCAATCATGAACTATATACGACAGAGACTCTTAGACATAGAACAGCAAACATGGATTAGCGAAATACACAATGATGAACGGAAGGACCCGCATCAAAAAAACAAACTAGGAACTTTTAGGAAATTTAAACTTACCCATGACAACGAAAATTACCTCACAAATGTAAGAAACATCAATCATAGAGTAGCAATCACAAAGCTAAGATTAAGCAACCACAAACTAGCAATTGAAACTGGACGATACGTTAAACCCTATCAACCACCAGACCAAAGAATCTGTCCATTATGTAAAACTGGATTAGAAGACGAGGAGCATTTTTTGATTAATTGCATAGCCTATAGGGATCCTAGCAGAGAGCTGTTCAATACGCTAAAAAAGGAAACTAATCTTATTCTTGACTCTATGACTCCAAGCTCTGCCTTTACAACGTTGATAAGTATGAAGCAAGGAGAGAAAACGCAAAAAATTGTGGCTAAATACGTATATGATCGCTTCCGCGAAAGAGATAGACGCGTTAAATATAACCTTGTTTAATAGTTGTATAAATTTTACAAATGTACACCTCTGTAATTATTGCACAAAAATCTTTGTTATCTTTGTAAACACATGTGTCTGTAGGCGCTCTGTTGATAATAAAGCACTTATCCTATCCTAACGATTCCCAAAATAAAGGGATAAGTCTCATAGTTTATTAGATATAATCGTGTAAAGTTTGCTTATCATTTTCGCATAAATTATGGCCTAAATTTGGAAACCGCTGAATTTCTCGAATTGGGTCTTTGCGATTTTGGTGAAACTCTGTTCAGCGCAAGGCACTAATGCGCACTATGTGTAGCCGAGAGATTTTTAAGAAAAAATGCCGGCAACAGCAGATTTTCGACTCAGACCTCAAAGGGGCGTGGCATTATAACCACGTAACATTCACTCCGATCGCCAAAAATTTTATGTTATATTGTAGATTGATCTATATGTTATCCATTCTATGTGTTAGACTTACGATAAAAGTAAAGGTGGGGATACCAGAGAGCTTCAAAGTAGCTTGGTCCCCCCCTAAAAAAACTGGTTCGAGTCACCTTAAAAAATAGGAATAAGAGGTGCGATCACTAAGCAACACGAGGAGATACAGAGGCAGAGGACAAGGCAGAGGAAGACGAGGCAGACTAAGTTGTTATCTAAAGAACTGGAGAGTTAAAGATTGTCTGGAGATAAACTGAAGATCTGAGGATTAAAGTATTTTTGTTCTTGTGAATAACAACGAAACTCCTTCGGATGCCAAGTACGATTTTCGAGGGCAGCTACAGAGTGATTTATATCGTGCAGAATCTATTTCATCATGGGAAAGGTAGACGCAGCGTAAGTCTAAACAGTCATTATTTGGTGCTATTTAAGAATTCACAAGACAAATTGCAAATCTTGACTCTGGCCAAGTAAATGCATCCCGGGCAAACTGATTTCTTCTTAAATCAGTACGAAGAGGCAGTAAACAGACCTTTTAGTTATCTGCTGATTGATCTAAAAACTACTGCCCAAGGTAATTGTTGACCGCGAACAAACGTCCTGCCCAGTGAAGAAAGCTATAACGAAGCATGGGTTCAAGAAAATATTCCTCAAGAGCTTCTAAAATATCTAAAGCAGCAAAATTATTCGCCGTCCCACTTCTTCCAGCTAGGCAAGAGATGTAAGGCAACGTAGATGATGTGCTTTCTCGAAATAATCTTCGGGACGATGAAAAAGCTAAGCGATACTTTCAGTAGCAAAACAGATACCTGGCTTTTAAAGAACAATTAAATACAAAAACACGACCAGAAGAAATGATCAGCACTGTTCCATACTTAGCATCAAGCACACAAGATTCTTCGACAGCGACGGCACCATTATCAACTCCCCATAACCCCTTCAACGTAACACCTATTATCCAAAAACCTAAAAACAAAAGCTCCACCCCACCACCACACTTAAATCCTGCTTTCCTGACCTCTCCTCCCACAGTAGATACCCCATCACAAGCCCCAAAGTGCAAAAGGTGTCGTATTCAATTTGTAGATTATTTGGATGATGTTAATGATGCTTACCGCAAACAGAAGAAACGAGCTCGGCATAAGAAATTACAAGTACTCCATGGGCGAAGAACAAGAGGATTTATTTTTCATTCCTTTCAAATCGCTGTGTATTTTGATTCTCAGTAAAGTTTTGAAAAAGGTATTTTTTGCGTTGTTTTATTAGCCGCAAGTTTCAATCCATTCTTGTTAAGTTATTATTTTTTGTTTGTTTTTTGTAATAGTGAGACAAAATTGAAATAGAGAGTTTTCAGCTCCACTTTGTGCATGTGTATGTGTTTTGTTTATATAGCCGATTATTACACAAATAGAGGACATAAGCCGTTTCTCGTGGTGCTAGGTGATCCACCTCGGGTTTATTCCTATTTTTTTGATAGACGTTGCACTCACTGGTACTAGAATGGGTTCCAGCAATAATTCCCATTCTTGGGTCGACTAAAAGGCGTCCAAAAGAGCTGGAAGCTCATCAACGTTGATAACGAAAGCCATGATGCTCAAAAAGTGAATAAATGTTTTCTTAAACAAGCGAAGTCGAACAAAAGTTTTTCCTGGCAAACTGCACTTGCAAGAAAGATAGCACTTTCGAAAACTGCCCGCTTTTATTTCGAAAACGCAATACATTCTACATGAGCCAATCAGAAAGGTATAGAGCGAGCATGCATAAGCAAGCCCATTGTTTCTATTGTTTGAGAGAGGCGCTTATTAGATGTGGAGGAAGACAGTTAATAGTATGGAGGAACGCCATTTTACCTAGCTAGCTAGACACTGACTTAAGCACTTAATTGGAATGCAGAAAGACAGTGAGTAGACACTTTCTGGACATATGCAGTAAAACGCTCCGAAGAAGAACCTGGGATTTAAGAACCTGCTGGCAGAAATTTTCTTTTTAATACTTCAAAATATAAGAACCAGTTTATCTAAGAAAAATCAACAGGTTCCTATATGTGGGGTTAGACTACATTTTCATAAACATTTTGACCAAAGGTCTCGCCTTAATATGGGACATTTATATTACGTTATGTAATAAATGTATAATGTATACAACCATTGTTAAAAACTGCATATCTTCTAGCTGTTAACCTAGTTTTGTTAGATTTTTGGTAAATAAATGCCCATTATGAAGGACAAATACCATTTATAGCAATTTCATGTAATCAACAACAGTATCCTTTCAAAAGTAGGTTGAATTTGATCGTCCGGGTGAACGTAGTCCTGAATAGGACTGTTGTTGTTGACAGTGACTGACGTTTCGACAACCTGTGGGGTAGTCATCTTCAGAGTCAAAGTGAGTTGTATCACGTCAGTTGTTGGTATTATACTCTGCTTATTGATCTGATTGGTCAATTACGTCGCGATGTTATTATATTATAGTCTGTCAGTTAAGCCGTGATGTTATTGGCTATAAAGACTCGTAATCAGTGATTGGTGCGTTTCGATCCGTCTATTGTCACAGTTAAACAGTCGTCTATTGTTAGTCAAATTGTCAGTTCTCCAGTCGTTCTCTCGTATTTAGTTTTGCTTGATCTCGTCAATAAGTCGTTTGTACGGCGCTGGTAACTGTTAGTAAATCGAATAGGGAGAGGGCATGGTCTCAGGCTAGCGAAAAGTATGAGATTGAACATTGTTCGCTATCTAGTAAAACAATTAACTGGTCAGCGGACAGTTTCCAAATAAATCACGTCACCTCGATGAGGTGAATCCTGTTTTGACAGCTGTCAATTGACCATATTGTGAATGTCCTATATTAAAGTTGTGGACTTACCAAGACACGCCTGAGACACCCCTCCCTTCCTTTTGATAGTCTCCCCTACCCCACCCGTACAATCTGTAGACGCGTACGTACGCTCGGTCAATCACGTGACAACCAAACGAAAAGAGGTTGACCATATTCCATGAGTATGGTGCTCCGTCCCAAGCGCGCTTCGCGCGCGTGGGAGCCCCGCTATTAGCAAGACCTAGCTAGACCTTGCTAGACACTTACTAGACATCAAACAGGAGAAAATCATCCCTCTAACACTACTCCTGCTTTTCAGTGACAGGCCACAGGCTCTTATACTGACTGCAAATAAATACGCACTTTTTAATTCAAAATGTTTTGAATTGTTTTAGCTGGAGTCTTTTATATCACGGGTACGTTCGAACGGGTTTTATTGTCTTTAAAATATATATAAAAATAAGATGTTAAATGCTTAAAAAAGTTTATCGTTTTTCTGTCTTTCCCGTTACCAGCAACGTTTGTATCCACTCCGCTCTTCCCTGTTGTAAACAGGTATTTTGTGACAATTTTTCGGACAGTTGGCAATTGACAAAGAACAAAGAAAACCGAAGCGAGTGAAAAATAAAATCCAATACCAGCTAATACCTAATCAAGCATCCTTTAATATCAGCACTTTGTCATGTGACTTTTTTGACGTCAAACCTATTCACCTCATAGTCACGAGATTTAGCTGCTGTAACTATTTATATAGCACCAGTATCTGAAGCTTTTTGTTTAAGAGCTGGAACTGCAGGCAGTGGTGATTATTCAAATTAAACTAATGGCTGATTTCAAGACAACAATGTTAAACCACACACTGTAATGTGTTAACTTACTTCCCCACAGATAGGTGCTTTTTTGTCATCTCCTGCAATCGGTTTATGCTTAAAATGCTCTTCGAGTATTGATAATAACATTGTTAAGAACGCTGTGATGGAAATACGCCTACAGTGTATACTCGAAGTTTCCTAGGTAAACTAAAATCAATATCAACATCACCGTAGTTCTTATCACCGAGACAACTCTAAAAACACATGAAGGTTACCTGATCCCGAATGTGGCATTTCAACATCACGTAGAACACAGAGACAAGTATATAAGCAGCAACATCCCAGGATATTCCCATCAGCCACAACCATAAGAGCAAATCATCGCGTTCCAGGCTTGAGTCTATCCAACACCACCCTGAAGTTAGAGAGCCTTTGTTCTTTCCTAGTTTGTTCAATCCTAAAGCGGTTCCTACGATAATCAAAGGAATTCCCCATCCAAAGACATGAAAAACTTTGAGCATGACCTCAGCTTTTCGACGCTGCTTCTTTGCTACAGTAGTGAACATGTAGACAGCAAGAAATGTCGTCCAGAGAAGCGACCATAAATAACCGCAACCGGTGACGCAGGCTTGTATCTTGCATATGATTTCACCCCATTCATGATCTGGCTCCCACGTTCCAATTAAACAACTCGCGGCAAGTAAGAAGTCTGCGACGGAGATATAAACAAGAATTTTCCTTGAGGTTGATTGGTAATCCTTCCATGCGATATATGTAATGCAAATAACAGTGGTGCTCAACAGCGAAAGAGTCGCTGAAATAGTTATTACAACTCGGTTTGTCAAAGAGTTTGCCATGTCTTCGAAACTTGCGACCGTCGCTTCTGTTAATGCCATTTTATACGCCGAAACTAACAATTTTATACAGCAGCTGTGAACTGTTAAAAACGTCGATGAGTAGGAAGTCGTTTTCTTGTTTGAGACTGCTTGGTTATCATTTAGTTCAAGGTACGTCGTCTGAGGTCATGACACGCTATTCAGCTTCAAACTGGATTCAAGTGATGGTATTAAATTGCTCAGAAAATGTTTATTTTTGCAAGCTCTAAGGTAACAATCGGAAGGCGGAAGGGTATATTGTGACCTCTATTGTGTTTTCTCGTTCAAAAGCCGCGGGCTTTTGTTTCAAACCAAAGTAAAAAATATAATGTTTAGGTCACAAATGTAATAACTGGTGCTAAATGTAATAAGGGTGCTAAATGCGGTACGAAACTGGCGCCAAATGTAATAAGGACTACCACCCTAAAATAAGGAATCTGTCACAAGGGTCACTTGATTATGTAATAACGATGGAGGCTCCGCTTTGGGCAAATAAAAAAGTTTGACTCAAGTATTACAACTTAAGTTTCCCTAATCACGCAGTAAATGGTCACTACTGGACTGCTTATAGGGCACGTCCAGTAGAGTTTTTGGTTTCGGTCAATTTTCGGTCTGCTGCGCTAAAAAATGAACACTGTTAACTATTAACCCAGATTAACACAGAAGGCGGTACTTGATCCATAGAGCATGTTTGTCCTTCCATCTTCGCAGTGTTTAAAAGATCGGTTTTTCATTTTAAACATTTCTTTTTGTATAATGTAACACCCGGGCCCTTTTGGAGGTCTAAATCTCAGATTAGGATAAACAAGATTCATCCGACGAAAATGGAACTTTGAAGATTTCGCACACAAGTTAAACTCCTAGCCTCATTGGACAGAGGGCAAATGAGCGGCTAAGCTTTAAAAACGCAAAGCTTCACTGGGAGTTTCAAAAGTTTATTTGGGAGAAATAGAATACTAAGGCAAGTTATTTGCTAATGCCAGGTTTGGTGTCTTAGCATCCTAGAGCTTCAGTTGTTCTCAATGTCGCCCAGAGTTTTTGCGTTTGTTTCCATCTGTAAAATTCCCATACTCATTCCCATACCGAAACAAACAACACACAATTCGTTTTCGGCGGAGAGAGAAGTTTATTAAGAATATGAAATACAAGTGAACAACAACCAACGACATGTACAATAGCCCATAAGGTAGCCTGCGTTAAAGAGGGGGGGGGGGGAGGAGTGTAAGAAAGAGAAGAAGGGAACGCCTGCTGCTGCATTTCGCCCCTTATTTTAATTATCCTAGCTGTCACTTCAACGACCAATCAGAATTAGGCCGCACGCTTTTCTGCATGACTGACTTCACGAGGGAATGAATCGCCAAAACCGGTTTCGTAACTGTAGAGCATGAGCATGAGAAAATCTTCGCAACAGAATGTCGGCGCCGCGACTCCAAGAAAAATTTGTAAAAGGAGACGGAAACCCAATGTAAACGTTCAAAAAATAGCAGTTGAAGATTTTGTGGAGTTAACTTTACTTCTGGAGGAGGACGAGCCTCATTTGAAAAAACAATTCAATTTAAAGAAATGCTCCTCCTCATCAAATTACTCACCGACGCTGATCAATCAACACTTCCTGAACAAAGCCATAGATACTCACATTAATCGTTGACTCGCTTAAGATCAACACCATACACACCTGCTTGAGTGCTTCCTCCATTACAGAAAATGTGAATGCTGAGTTCCTTTCCTCGCAACTGACATGCTCGTCCTCCTCGGAGTAACCTGTCACTTGGTTTGTCTGTCTTCCAGCTCTCATTTATCATTTCTTGCTCTGTTCTGTTGGCTGTCTTTACCACTTTCCTACGGAGAGACGATTTCCTTTGCAACAAGAAACAAAATGTCCATATTTTGAACACAGTACACTTTTTTCCTTTTACTGGACAACACGGATCCCGAGCGAAACGTCCCTTCTTACCACAACTGAAACATGTTTTTCCTGACTGGTCCCCGGCCTTGTCTTCTCTCTTTCCGATCAATCAATCAGTCAATCAACCAATCTTTATTTACGATATCACTTCATTGGAAATGCTCTTCCAGTGAGCCGTTTACTTAACAAAATTTTCAGAGAAACTACACTAATGCTGCTGATATCCTCCAAGACTTGGGATGGGATAACCTTGAGCAAAGACGCTCTAAACAGTTCGCAATCAATAAGTGTTTTTAAATCTCTAAATAACCTTTACCCTGAGAGTTTAAAGGGCATGTTTAAACCAACCTCCGGGGTTTATTCCTACAACGTACGAGGTGCCTCGAACAATGTTTTTGTACCAAGGATCCGTATTGAAGCTGCTAAGGGGGCTTTTAGCTATAGGGGAGCAGTCATGTGGAATGGCTTAGAAAATGTGCTTAAAGACGAGATAAATCTCAACTCTTTCAAGTCTGCCCTGTCTTTTTTTAGTTATATAATGTACATTTACGGTTGATTTTTGTGTAATTAATTAAAGGATTGATTTTCTTAAAATATACAGATATATATTTTTAGCATTAGTATGCTTTTTCTGAAAATTTTGTTATGTAAACGGCTCACTGGAAGAGCATTTTTGATGAAGCGATACCTTAAATAAAGCTTGATTGTTGTTGTTGTTATACCACGAGAAACTCCTCCGTATAAAACCGCCATAGGACAAAGAGCTTTCTATTTCAGAACAGTTAAACTTTGGAACCAACTCGACCCTGCCCTTTATATTAGCTGAAATCGACCTCAAAGGACCTCAAGAGAGTTGCCTGAAGAAAACTTAATGTTAAATTCTTTGGAGACATCTTAAGGCTTTCCTTTTTTAAGTCAATTTTTACTCAATTATTAGTGTACATAGTTTTTACCACTTTCAGTCATTAACTTTTGGCCCTTTTGGGACGAATAAAGTATGCAAGTATTATTTACTTTGTTACATGTAGGCGAACCAAAGTGGAGTTGAACTACTTTGGCCCATATCCAGGCTCAGAAAGAGACAAAATTTCGTCGTTGCTTGTTTATGTTCTCCATAAGACGCGAAATTAGACATTTTCACGCTGCGGTCGTGCAAAAACGGTGAAGAAAAGTATAAAAAAAGTGATGCCCGTGCTGTTAAACCTATTTTTTTACGTTCTCGTTGCCATCGCGTCGTTGGATCTAAAAGTCGCTAATGTTTCTTGCAAAACAGAAGAATGTCATTTGACGTTTCGACGTAGGCGTCAGGTGGGGACGCATGCTCGATGGAAAGGCAAACAGTTACTTCTAGTGGCTCCAGAAACCACTACTCGCAGGGTAATCGAGCGCGATGTATTGTGGTAATTCAACTCACAATATCGCAGAGATAAATAAGTCAATCATGATTTTTTTATACATTATCTAGTCGCTTGAAATAATGACAGCAGCAGATTTCCGAGGTTAATTATCAACAAACCCCAGCCCAACCTCCATTCAGGGGACACCTCTGGGGACACTTGGTAATTGGTCCAGAGGGTGTCCCCTGAATAGAGGTTTCACTGTATGTTTCTTTGAAAAGAAAGAGACCATGCATAACATTTATTTTAATAGAATAAACTATATGTGAAAACCAAGGAAACATTTGCGCAAAGTTTAATATTTCATTGGGCATTTGTCATGAATTCCAAACACTACGCTGAAATCAAATAGCCTAACGTGACCTCAGACAGTTTGATCGAGTTGATTGATCAGCAAACAATCTCGACCTTTTAAATCCCGCATGACGAGTCACGCGAGGCAGTAGTCTGCGAAATCAGCTTGGTCCAGAACACAGATGATTTGCCATATTCCGATTTCAGGCTGAGAAAATGGAGCTAATGTAATTTCAACGGCAGTCAATTACAATACTTCCGTTCCTGCAACAACTCCCATCAGTT